GAACTTGTTACAGGCCACAAACCTCGCTTATCTCACCACTAGCCTCAAGGGTTATGAATCGGTTGAAAACAATCCTAACCTTACTGGCTACTGCTGAGATGAGCAAGTCTGTTTCCTGTAACAAGCTCGCAAAGATTGGTCGTCCTATAGCTTGTAAATGGAAAATGAAAAACGGTCTGATCGGCTACCCGGTGGCCGAAACAACTGTTATATGCTTCCTAGCTTTTCAGTTCAAGCTTCATTTGTAATATATATGACGAATTTCACCTTTGAAATTGAATCAAATCCTCCATTACTCACATGTAACTGACATTCACGCGACATGTTGCAAGCAATGCATATAAAAAAGCTTCCGCCTGTGGCAGTTTATTTTGAAGTACATCTCGTTTACACTTTTTTCAAGAATTCACCATATCAACACAGAAATAACTTCAGACATGGGAAAAACGTTGTCTAACCTGCTGCTATGACTGGTTTCAGTTTTATATAATTTTCCATCAATTCTACAGTATGTATCTGCTCACTATATTTGCGGTTTTAAGTTCTCTCAAAAAATATGATGGGTCTATTGAAATTTCAATAACTTTTACGTACAATGGATGGTTTTGTTCACTATGCCATGTCATCTAAAAAGGAACAACCGTTGACATACAGAGTTCCCAATACAGCCTATCATTCAATCAGCCTGGTGACAATCCCTACCGGAATGTCAGGATGCTACTTTTATCGATTCTTTATGGAAAGCGTAGAGTTAGGGTTTCGCAGCTCCCACCGATGATCTAGATACTCGTTGATCATCATTCTCGACATAGCATCATACATTGACTTTTCACCTACTCTGTTTTGTGGAAGCATCCTTACCACAACACGGAGTACAATTTCCCAGAATTTGTTTCAAGAGAAACAATCCATGGAAGTTTTTCTGGAATAAGAACGAGGCCTCGCTTACACTAGGAGAATAAGAGGCTTCTCAAGCAGCCGAACTTTACGTCCCTGATAATTAAGTCTTACCCTGACCACTGCTGTGGCGTTGACACCAAACTTGTCCTCGAGTCGGTGTGAAATACTCGCATACATGCGTGAAGGTGTAGATAATCACAAGCTATTTCCACAAGGCTCGAAGATCAACTGAGGGTTAGTTTATTATGATGACTACTTAATAAACAGCTGGGTGAATGCTCGGCAATGAGGGGTAACAGCTTTGAATATTGTGCCACAAAGGAATTGCGAATACCCGACTAAACCCCGCATTTAAACATAAATCATTTTTGTGCACATATCATACATTAGTTCAAAGACTAGAGAATTAGCGAGTATTTGAAAATAGTGTTTATTAACTTTTCAAACCACAAGTGTATATTCGATCGATCCACGGGACTGAATCAAGATGAAAATAAACTACAAAAGATGCTTTGCAAAAAGAGAAAGGTCATTACATCTAAAAATACGGTACTAAAAACCTTTGAAATTTCTCAAAGGGAAATAAATGAAAAATTAGGTAAAATATTATCGGAAAAAGTCATTTTACCGCTCATTCTATGCGGCTGAGTTGAAAGTCAGGGGTATTAGATTGTCCAAACCGATGACATCCGGTACTATTTTTCACAGAATCTTCAAGATGTGCCCAACTCAAACAGCTGCCGGCCCCCATAAGACGTGCTCATATTTCTCACGAAGCGTGCGTTCCAACAATGCTGCATGGTCCGAATCTCGGGTTTCACAAACGCATTTCACTTGGACACTGAACACGCTCGAAATGAGCCAGGCGCGTTCATGAAATATGTCTTTAATACTAAAACAAAGAAGTAGAGCACCATTTAAATATGAATTAGAACTCTGTTAGAGGCCAGAAAGAAACTGTTGAACAAGCGTTAAGCGATATATGGCTTTTTGACAAACGACGACTGTTGCTCTTAGCTTAGGTAAGCTAAATTACCGTATTATACGCGTCATTTCATACGTAGCAACACAAGAAGTCAAATGCAGATTTAATAAGGATCTAATGATCTGATGCAAATGACGATCAATTAGAATTCATGTATTTCTGTTTACAAACTAGAAGTTCCGCGATTCCTTTTCATACATCCGAGCATGTGAAACTTCAAATGATGGGGTTTACTCTTATAAGCAGATTTCTGTGAAGAAACACTTGAAGCTGATAATAACATTTCTAATTTCACGGTAAAGTCAAAACTTCACGTTTTATGACTGAATGCTGCAATGGGTAATATCATCTACCGAAAGATCTGAACAAACGTTTAACTAGCGTCTATCTTTTGGAGGTACCCTCTAGCTTCCCTCTCTACTCGAGTGTTATACCATGCGTCCTAATTTTTGACACGCATGAAATATAATTGCATTGGATGTTTGAGGCCTCCACATTTCGTTACGCAGCGCAAAAACAGATTATGATAGTATGCGTTGTAGCATACAAGAACCTTTTGTTTCACTAGTTCTCCCGCATGGAATCTGTTACTCTACGCAGGAAAAACAAAGGAGATAAGAATAACGCTTCGGGGTTGAATCAACTGAGCACATACATCGAAGCCAGGCGAGAGACAGGAGTTTGACTGGCACTAAGTAAAAGAATCACGGGGAGCTACGGATTCGGTGTTCTTTTTGACTAAATCATCATCGCTATGCAAATGAACGACAATTCCCGAAATGCGATAAAGTAACAGAACTTTGAGATCTGTTATCTTGGGATAAAAAAATGGGTTCGTTTCTTTGCTGATATTCTCGGTCTGTTTATTTCACCATGCACTGCACAAACTATTAAACGTGCGCTGCATCACTACGACTAAATCAGACACCTCTGTGCGACAAACAAACTGTATGTTTGGACAGGTATACGAAATCGAAATGTTTAGATTCAGCATAACTGCGTTTGTGGTTAACAATAACAATCTACGACGGTGAGTATCCAGACCATAGGCATATTTTATTGTGGCAAAGGGTGATGAAATGTCTAAGTGTGTGAAGCATACAGCATTAGCGTGAGGGTGCAAACCTATCATCTGTAGATTGCGACTCACTTGATAGTGGGAAACACCATGAAAATTTAACTATCGTGTAAGCAAACCCGTGCACAATACACAAATTTCTTTCGTTTTAGCCCGTTCATTGTAAAACAGTGAAGCACTAAGCACAATATGTTAATTCCATAGCCGAGAATTACTAGTTGACTAAAACAGTTTGGCACATACAGCCCAGGAATTGAATTACGTATTGAATATAGGTTTGCATCAGTAGTGCATGATGGAATGTGCACAGTGGAATACAATTTCCTACTATCATTTATTTTGTTCCGAGAAGTACTGAAATACTTCAAATTCAATGACTCAGTTCTGAGCTATCAGTTACTAACGATCCACAGTTCAAAACAGTTTGCGTATATCATTTATGCTCCCAATGGCAAATGTTTGCTTCTTGCTGAGATAAAAGATCTCGGATGCAACCCAGTTGAGAAAAGGGATCCAAGATTCCATTACTAATAGTTCTCAGTTAACAAATCAATTGAGCTTCTGCAAATTCTGAAAATCTCCCATGAGTCACAATTTCTACTAAAAGACAACTTGATGGCAATCAATGGAATATCAAGAAATATGACGCAGGCGAACAAGATAATCTGTTTCAGCTTAAAGTATCGATAACCCCACAGTTTGCCACACCATCTTCCGATCTGTTTTCATCATAATCCTCACAAGTAGGTTTTATCCGGATGCACAGATTATCAAGGTTCACACCAAGCCCGTTCCACTAGGCTTTAAATTATCTGTAACACGTTTACATTGTCTCAAATTTAGTTCTTGTGTATATAAAAGAGAAACCACGAAACGGAAGGCTGAACAGCAATACCCAACTCTTTCGATTTCCGCAGCATAACCTTCCATTTGACGCCAATTTTTCTAACAATGGATCCTTTTTCTTGGACTATTAGTTGTGAAAGCCTTGGATAGTTTGCTGTTATTGAGCTTTATCATAATAACATTCATCCAAAACGTATCATTTTTGAAATCCTCAAGAACTCGCCAGAGGTAGATGTGCAGCAGTTTTTACTGATAATCCACAGCGAATACTCAGAAATTCTCTTGATATTTGAACTTAACATATAAAGCCCAACTCTTTCGTGTACCAAGGGTTGGTGTGACTGCACTGCAGCCATCAATAGCAATCTAGGTTTCATGATTCCGATCTATGTAAAGCATGGTGCATAATTAATCCTTGTTTCTAAACGTGGTAAAACTTAGTACCAGTGGAAGAAATAAAACACACGGATGGTATACATCAGTCACTTTATTGGTGCCTTGCACGATTCCTCGATTGGGGTCTTAAATATAGAGTTGCCGTTAACAAACAATATATTTTCTTGACCATGGGATTACCTCTTTCTATTGTTTATTGCACCGGGGTGAGCAAAGCAAAAATCGACTAATCTGGGTACGGAAAACATACATTTGGCAGTTTTTCTTACAGATTAAAGCAAATGTGCGCATACCTGACGCCAAGATCTCGCAACACTGAACAAAGTTCAGCGATACCTCCAGGCCGATCAGAAACAATTACCAGGAATCGACACATGCGTCCCTCAAACGCCAGACCCCGCTCAATGACACGCCCCAGTAAAGTGGTATCAATATTTCCACCTGAGAGGACGGGAACCACGCTAAAAAAGCAAAAAAGACAACCATAAGGCGCTACATGGATGGAAAAATGAAATCACAATGTACTCCAAATTCGTAAACATTTTTTAATTATTTTGAGATGAATCAAGGGAACCGTGGTCGAAAAAATGTAGAGAGCGTAAAAAATTAACAAACATCTTGTCACTCAGAGACATTAGTTTGCTATGTGAGGTTCTATTCACAAAGTGATCAAATCAAATAGTTAAAATAAAACTAATAAAATAAAAATGGCATCCGAAAACCGTGAAACATTTAGCGTGAACTTGTTGAATTATTATTGCGTTATGCCCCCAATTGTGTTAAGCTCCGACCAAAACAAGTGTCCATTTCCACTGAAAAATCACTTTGCCCCAATATAAAACTCTCGGTGTTCACAAATATCGCGAGAATAACTTCACAAAGGTCAACAAAGCAGTTAGAAATTAATCAATGTTCGAAAACTTCTTCTGTGTTGCTTTCTGATTCATCAGCAGAAAACGAATTATTGATGCAAAACACCGGTTTCAATGAACCTTTGTAAGAAAAGTACGATATATTGAGTAAATTAATAAGAAAATTGACTCTCAATACAATATTTTTGTACCCTGTCATCGAGTGAAATCCATCAAGGGATTGCATCAATTTACCAGTTATATCCCTATAAAGAGGAAGAATAATAATTGTGATAAAACATCGTACCATTTTCTAGGGCAAACAAAATTCCTATCAGGTGATTTGTACCTTATTTGGTGCCTATGGGACTCTGATACTCTTAGGGTTATCCCCAACGTGCCATTGAACTTGTGATTACATATACGTTAGTAGAGCACTTACGTTTTTCCTTCAAGCTCTGGCAAAAGTCCAGCCATCAGTGCGGCTAGAGCGGTTGCACCACCTCCCTCGACAACACACTTTTCAACCTCGAGCAGCCTTACAATGGCCCGGTGAATATACGCTTCATCCACACTGATCATCTTATCAACCAAACCAAGACAAGTGTGTAATGAATTGCAGCCGATATTGGGTACAGCCAAACCTAAAAGATCAGGCCGAAGTGGAAATTGTTATTGCAAACCAGATCACTGATAAGCGCGATACAATAAAACGTTGCGATACACTTCGGTTTTCAAGGTGAAAATTCGAATACCACTAAGAATTTCACATCCTAATATTTCCGAAGAATGAAATGTTCCAGGCGTAAAATCCCACACACCGTATTGTTGAGTATTAAACAAAACGATCTGATAGATATGTTTTCAACAAGTGCTCATGGATGGCATAAGTTTATTCATGCACGGGATTTCAATTTCAAATTTGCATCTTGGTCAGGAGGCCACCATTCAGTTCCCCTATTAAAAAATTAAGAGCAAGAGTAACACAATAAAATGTCTATCTCACTGACCGCTAAAATGGCAGATAATGTAATTTAGTCGCTAACTAGTTGTGATAGGCTTATCAAAAACGTTTGTTCAGTAACTACTGTAAACTTGGCCGCGTTCGATTAAACACGAGCATATTACTTCCCATTGTATGCAAGATAGGGTCTGAGGAACGACTCGTAAATTTCCTAATCTATCATCAGTTATCCTTGGTCTACTGTTTAAAAGGATAAAAGATGTTATTCCTGCAGATAATGGAGAAAAATATTTTGCTCGTGTTTAAATTGTAGAAAGATCTGTGGATTTCATGGATTTCGTGTCTGCACAAGTACATTACCAACACCTTTGTACGAAAACGCTCCAGCATCTGTGCTACAAAGTCATATCGATAGTTTTGATTGTTGTTCGGACATGTACCGAAGCTTTTGATCGTCCAAAGGGTTAAACATAGGTATATGTCACCCTATTTTCAGCAAATTATTTCAGCCTCAGATTTATCAGGTGAATTCCGGTTTATTTTAGGTAAAATAGACCAGGAAAGACAACTTACGTCATGGTCAGTATGTTTCATATTCCTCTCTATGTTGGGTGGGTGATCAAGTGCAAAAAGGTTACTGATGCGATTTGACCGTGGTGCTCGGTTGCTAAATCATGCATTGTACAAAATTATATGGCTTGAATCTCGTCAAGCTCTTCGTTTTTCGAATTTCAAACAATATTAACAAGTAAATTAGGAAAGTTAAAGATTTTTGAACTTATTGAGATACTACTTTGCCCATGTAATCCATAACTCTAGAAGACGTGGATGTGGAGATTACATTGAAAGATACTAAGGATGAAATAGACAGATTTATGTTTGTTACAAATAACGCACCGTCTGCAACCGTTGGATAGCAGATCGTACTAACTGGCTTTCCCGCAGCCATTGAAGCACCGAACGCAGCACAACGATCAGATTCAACACCCTGAAAATAAGTTGCGAATAATTTCAGTGAGCTTCAAGTCCTCCATAAGCGGATAAAACAGGCCTACGGAATATTCAAACAGGCTAAATTTGCAGGAATAAGTTCTTATCGTGTTGCATCGGTGTTTTCATAATTTCTCATGGATAACTTAAACATTTCAGGTGTCGGAATGAAACAAAGATCAGCTTTTGTGTATCCAACCTGTTTGCGAGTATAGAGTATTCTCCATAACTTATATATTATATCAGAGCCTGGTACTCAACTGCTCGAGCCCCGACATTCAGGATCCAAGAGCCAGGTATCATCATTTCTGGAACCAGGTCGATTACACAAAGTTCGTCAAATCAGTATTTAAAAAATTGTTTTCATCATGGCATCAGGTTGCTTTAATTCCTGTGCAAGTCAACGAATAGGATTCCTCGACCCGTGATCTTCTAGGGACAGATAATGAATAGAGAAAAGACCAGGAGTAATCAAACGGACACCTGGTATGTGTGTGAGAAGACCCTCGCTCATTCAAGTCGGATTAGGCTACGTAGTAGGGGTGCTTAGTTGGGCTGCCTAATCAACTGCGGAACACATTAGGTGATACATTTGGGTCCTCGTTGATTTATTCACTTTGTGTGCCGATTTACTTTACTCGATTTCTGTAACTTAACTTTGATAGTGCTCTTATCCTAAAACGACTTCAGGTACTCCATCCTCATTGCTCAATCGAAGGATGGTGAAAAAGCAGCAAATGAAACCACTGCAGGACCTAGGTATAATCTTTCATGCACACTCAGGGTGGCTCACTACGAACGTATAAGAAACATCAAACTGGTGAGTCAATTAATACCTATGTTCGAGTAGATGATCAAATTTATGATAGGTATTCATCTTACAAAATCAGAACTTGATGAATTCCTGTGAAAAGGATGAAGTCGCTAAACGGCACTTTGTACTCCATAGTGTACATTACCCAAAATCTTTAAAAACTAAACTTATAAAAAATGGTTCACTTTCACGCTTACTTGGTAAAAATTTAATACAATCTGGAATATAATGATGTAATATGTCTGTACAATTTGAGCTATTTTTATCCATTGCTCATCGTTGTCTACGCAGAATTGCACGAGTCTGGTGGGGCAACCGGACGAGCGATGCTGAGATTAGGTACAGAGTATTGGGTAACCGCGATCGCCCACTGGAGCAAATGGTCGACCTCCATAGATCACGTCGGTTGGGGCATGTGTTACACATGACACCAAATGGGTTGCCACGGCGAGCGATGTTCGACGAGGCAGGTAAGGGGTGGAAGAAAGCCAAGGGTGGTCAAGCTGGGACCTGGCATGAGGGTATAAAAACCCTGACCAAGGGACTGGGTCACATAGGTCCCGTTAGGCTCCCTAGATGGGGACCTCGGAATGATCGTNATTCAAGCAAGGTAGAAAGGATAATCCTATCAGAAGTTTAAGTGACGCAGAACGTGAATTAACTTCTTCATATCCACCAGACAATTGGGTAAATCTTAGGTAGAATAATTCTGTTTTGTTCCTATGAACTTCGATAACGTTGGTGTGGGACGAAAAATCCATGAGATTATATTACCAATCTAAGACACAGTTTATGATATATAATCTAAGTGCATTATGTACTGAGGAGAAATTTATGTTTTTCGTGATCGAAATCAGTGTCAACAGATGCGATCGATATAATTGTTTGAAAGAAATACAAATTATGGAAAGGTTAACGTTTGAACTCACAATCACTTGTACTCTCGGGTTAATACCCTTCACAGCTACGGCGACCCCAGCTAACAGTCCACCTCCACCAACAGGTACGAGAATAGCATCCACATTAGGAACCTGCTCCATTATTTCCAAGGCCACCGTTCCCTGTCCGGCTACAACTTGAGGGTTATCATATCTTGATAAAATGGAAATCAAAAGTTTTTCCGGTTAAGAGAAAAAGATAAAATTAAACGTTCTGGGATCACCTCAGTTTTAACTAGGTAGAGGAAAACATGGTTGCAAATAGTTCAAAAAAGTTTGATTTACTTATTTATTTAATAAGAAAATGTTGGGGCCTCAATTTCTCTAAAATCAATATTATCTTTAACAGTGTTTGATGCATGGCACTCAAAAGGATTGGGCCTTCTTTTGTACGTACTGAGCTGATTAGACGCAGGCTGAAAGGCTCAAAAACATCTTTTACGGTTTTTCACCGTAATGATACGCGTTCATTGACTTACCAGCAAATCATAAATACAGCTAGGTGGATAACTGAAACTTGTCCGGGGGTATTATAAGGAAATTAAAATTCACTATTTTTCACATTCATTGGGAAATTTTGCGGTTACGGCCATTAGTCGTCAGAAGAAGCTGTGATTCAGAATAAATACTCTAAAAGAACTAGCTCTTAGATGTTATTGCTTATTCTGATTGCAAAAACTGATTAAACAGCTGGGTAAAACATTTGCTACAGACGAAATTGATGCCGAAAAATGACCAACGTATGATTTAGTGCAAACCATACTCAAACTATAAAATTGAAGCCAATTAAATTTAGACTGCTAAAGTAACAATTTATTTTCTCCCAGCAACCAGTTCAGAAACCATTTTTTGTATTAGCTTTCCCAATGACCAATGAAGCCTGGTCAACTCCGGTCTCTGTATTATCCCGACTTTTCTGAAAAAGGTGTGTATCGATAATTTGATAAACAGTAAATATACAAATCAAGAGTTTGGAAGAAATAATACAGCATTTTGATACACGGTTCACTCGGCAATTAAACGATCCTATCTGGAGAGTAACCCATCGTTGCAACTGATGTAAATCTTTGGATACATCTTAGAGATCAATCACAACCCGGATGAGCAAAATTCTATCCGAATAGGTTAGTGAGTTTAGTGTAACTGTGAGTAAACATACGTAAGTGAATTTTTCTACGTCTCTTCAGCGTTGATTTTTACCATAGACTTTTTATGCATTTACGTAATAAAAGGTGAAATATGTCACCGGTTTGTATGGAACGTTCAGTCTTTATCTCCACCAAAAGGGCCCTCCCCGTTTTGTATCACTACGTTTTCCTGGCAGGTTCTTTTCCTTTATTCTCACAACTAATTAGATAAACTCAACATATTGCATTCACGTGTCTTAAGCCACACCTCAAAATGGAGCTGTACCAATGCTTAATGAAACTAGACCACTAGCCGGATGTTTGTCTTTCGCAGTACGTCAGTGTTTACATTACTGCATGGTTTTATATTTAGTACATCATTCAGATTGACATAAGGATTAGTACAACCTGTTTCCCAGAAAGGTCAGAACAAATATCAATGAAAATGTTTATCGTTTGTCCTAATATCAGTATTAGCTTGAATACGCAGTACCATTCAGGTTCAAGGAGATACTGAATGCACAAAGATGAAGAGCAAATCGGTTTGTGTGAGAGAGTAGGTATGCAATTTGGTTGTTATTCAAATCGTTATCTGCAGATGTAACGCTTACGTGTAAGTTTCAAAGTATTCATGCAGAATAAATGCAGCTACGTTCGATGAGATGACAATTTTTCCAAATAATTAAAGAAACTGTAAACGAACGTGATAATGAATTCAGTCAAGAAACAAAGCCAGAAACTCGTGTTGACTTTTTTAGAATATATATATTCTGCAATGTAAATCTCATTTGCAGCTCGGGGAGTGGATATGAGACGAACAAGTCTTCAAGAATCATTGTGATCATTCCGTATCAAGTGTTGCGGATTAGATGCATCTAACCTCAGCCAACTCGATGCTAGGGCCGATTTTTCAGTGTTTTTATAACGATTAGTTTAAATATATCCATATGAATGATTCCATTAGAAATTACCGGATAGATATAATCCTTGAGTTTCAGTAACAGTGAAGCTGGCCACGTGCTTAAAAGGAAACTTTTGCCAATTATTAAGCTTTATTGCACACTTACAGACGTAGCAAAGAATGGAATGGTTTTTATTTGTAAACTTTCACATTGTCCATCAAGGCTCTGCCGTTTATTTAACTATAGACAGATGACTATAACTGACTCTTCATATTAACAATGTATTGAAAATTAGTTCTAACAGCTCGGGTGAACTGAAATCCATTTCACCTGTTCGCCGAGCTTGGCAATTTGTTTGCAAACGTTTCATCATCAACCAAGGTGACATCGTCAGTGCTTGTGAAGTGGCAGTTTTCTGCTTTACCACAAGTTGGCTGATCATATATGAATAAATGAAAAGGAAAACTGCGTCCGAATCGCTTCAACCGCGTGATCACACAAGATGAAAAATGAACCTTCATTAAAGGACAACCTCATCGTCAGAAATGCCACAACTAAGTAATACTTACAAAACTGGAACAAAATCTCAAATCGTCCACGATAACTGATGATGCATAACAAAGAAACTGACAAACAATCGTCCCGGCTCTACTACGAAAAGGACAACTCCATTTACTATCAAACTACGAGGACAAAACACTAGGAACACTGATGATGGACAAAAGTGTCGTCATCCTCTCAGCAGGTAAAAGACGAATTACTGTGGTAATGGAAGAAACTGACTACGTTCAAAAGGCTAAAGAATTACACCAAGACACAACCACCTACCGCAGGATTGACACGGCCCCCACCATAAAACGGGTAAGCAAAATCAACACCACACTGAAAATACTGGAAGAAGTGCATCAAATAACCAAAGAGGAGTACTGGAGGGTGACAGCCAAACACTCCGTTATCACATAATTCTACGGACTGCCGAAGGTGCACAAGGAAGGAATTCCCCTGAGGCCGACAGTCTCCCTCCCAGGACAGCCACATACAAGTTAGAAAAAGTATTATGGAAACGACTGAAATCAATCATTACAGGACACGAGAATAGCATCACATACTTAAGGCAGTTCTTGGACAAGCTCAAAATTGTCAACATCGAAGAAGACGAAATAATGGTCTCGTTCGAAGTTACCGCTTTGTTCACTTAAGTCGATGTGGACCTCGAAAGATCCCAGTTGTGGAAGTTGATAACTGAGCACCCACCGAACCAACTGCGAACTCATGGAACAATGCACACAGACGTACTTCAAACTCGAGGGTGAAATCTACGAAGAGCTGAGAGGGACGCCAATGGGATTATTAATTTCTGGATTAATAGCCGAAGGCGTAATACGGAAGCTGGAGAGGGAAGTATCACCAAGAATCATGCCAAAACTTTGGTTCTGAAACGTCCATGACACATTCGTCATCTTGAAGAAGTCGGAACTCGAAAGAACACAAATAATCAAAAACACATTCAGTGGATATCTTGATCATCAGGAAGCCATAAGGAAACCTGGAGACAACGATCTACCGGAAAGCAACACATTAGGATCAAATCCTAAGGTTCAAAAGTAATGATTCACACAGCCACAAAAGATGCTGTTTTAAGACCCTGTTCGGAATAATCCAAATACACTGCAGTATTGAAAAACTCAAGAGTGAAGAATAAAAACACCCCTTCGGAGTATTTTGTTTCAATGACAACATCCGTAAGTTCATTAAAAGAACTCTGACTCAAACAAGGAAACCAATAGCAGACAGAGAACAGGGAACAAGAACGACCGTGCCGTACAACAAGGACGTTTCGGAAATCACAGCATGACTGTTCAGATCACATGAAATCTAACTCGCCCACAAACCGACCGCCTGCCTTAGGAGATTTCTATCAAAACCAAAGGAGAAGGACAAGGGCAATGTCAAGTACTAAATAAACTGCAAGAACTGCTCAAACATTGTATCGGACAGACTAAAAGAAAACTATCAACAAGGATGAGTGACCATCAATCGGCAGTCAGTAGGCATGACCCACGATCATTGATTTCCCACCACGAAGATCAAGAGGAACATCTAGTTGACTTTGAATCAGTGAAAATCATCGACCAATCCCGGTCAAAATACGTCAGAGAATTTCTCGATGCTGGGCACACTTCAATCAACTCAATAAACAGGCACATCGAACTAGATGATGTGTACACGTCAATGCAACTCAAGGGTCAAATGACGCTACAAAGGGTCATGTCGTGATCTGAGAACGGACTAAAGCCGCAATCAAGACGGAAGAACAAATCCCAAACTCGCCCTTAGCACCATTTCAAAGGCAAACCAAGTCAAGAACGGACGACAAGGAACAAAAATATTCCGTCGAGAAAAACACGTGTAAACACACGTACACATAGATACCATATATATATATATATATATATATATATTACAAACGGGTAAAATCAGAACACTCGAACTTCACAAACACTGGCAATTTCATCTCAACTGCTGATGAAGTGTTTGCAAAGAAATTGCCAAGCTCGGCGAACAGGTGAAACGGAATTGACTCTTTATAGTCAGTGAGATAATGACTATGAGACTAAGACAAGATCGCTAAGCACAACGGACAACTCGCCCATGGATGCATTGTGTCCTGTTGTCCGTTGTGATTAGTAATCTTGTCTTCGTCTCACAGTTATAATTGACCCACCTAAGATACATAAATGATTCACATTTAACTCACTGTTACTTGTGAGTAGTAGGCAACCGGTTGAAGTACGCAAAATGTGTTCTAAGCAGTGAAGCCTATTGAGTTCAATTCGATGCGATAACAAATTCTTCCTCAATACATTCCGAAACACACGACATCTTACCTTTGGGTTTGAAGACTACCATTTCAAAAAATGTTTGGTTTGTGGGCGTGTTACTGTTACCATTTAAGGGGGTTTAGAGGTTATACTTGTTACTAACATAGACCGTAACTGATGCAAGTTCACGAAATCATTGCACAAATAGAAAACTGATCCGTATGAACGCAGTCTTATAAACCGTCTCAGCAGGAAACAAAGAAATTATGAATAAAATAGTCACATACCCGTTCACATATAATAAATCATTGAGTTTGCCCAACTTCATTGCATAGGGTTTTGACTGAAACGCGAATGACAATGTGGGATAGTAGGAAATGTTAAAGGTTTTGTTGGAACTAAATCTAGAACAGTTGTAATGCTGATTGTCTTAAACTATTCAGAGGAAACTGTTTAGCAATAATTTTAGTTAATAACTGAATCTGACTGCAAACTATCACGTCAAGAAGATATACAGTACCTCAATAATTAAAACACTTTTTTCCAGATAGAGATTTAAACAATGAACACAAAGTTGCGATATTGCAGGACGATTTCAGAAGTTCATCGTATAATTTCGCAATTTTTTTCAGATACCGAAATTGTCCAACTGGAGTACCGAAACCGTGTTGATGTTTCAGGTATTTTCTGTTTTCAACCTGTGTCTAAAGCAAATGATTTTCGGGTACAAATACTTATCGATGAAAACTTAAATAAATTTATGTATTCCTTATAAATTATGTTTTCAGACTCAACTCAGTTTGCAAACCGCATGACTCAGGATAAGTGCTATCTTACAGGCATATTGACGATTCCTCAAAAATTACCTCACACACTCTCGTCTCTTTATCCCTCGACAGTCTGTACAGATGAAACTGGTAAATTAATAGTTTTGAAGATGCAGTTTTATTTAGACAGGAAATCTACCGTGATTTGTTGACGGCAAAAATAAGAGCTATCAGTATGACTGCAGGAAAATATCGTCACCAGATCTGCACCCAAACACTTATTGTAAAACGCTTAATGAAATTAAGATAACCAAAATTGATCATAATGGGGTGTTTCACTGACAGCAAAAGAACTAGATGTTCCGCTCACCTGACTCATATCGTTTCCTTTGAGTAGCACGTTGGCACCATGGCCAATACAGTTCTCCACCTTCATGATTGGAGCCGTTTTTGGCATCACGACTGTAACGGGAATGTTGAGCTCTTTTCCGTGATAGGCCAGGGCTTGTGCATGATTTCCGGCACTGGATGCAATCACACCACGTTCTGCTTGTTCCTATGTGTGATTCAAAGTAAAATAAATCTACAAATTGCATGCCAGCTGCGACCGGAATATTTCCATTTGTTTAACTTTAAAAAGCTATTGTCAAAGTCATCAAGATTAATGTTGAATAATCCAAGACATTTTGAAGTTTTCTTCCAGGTTTAATTATAGTCCACCTCCTTGTCTAATTACTTTAAAAAGTAATCACTGCACCATTTATTGGTAACCACTTTGATAAACTGACGGTGTATACCCCTAGCGAAAGCCTATCACGACGTTAATATATATATATATATTTATATATATATCAGTTTGTACAACCATTAGCCTTGCAATTTCGTGTGCCGGTTTTGGTTGCTGTGTTTTGATTGCCCGTTTGGATGAACAGTAGGAGAAATATAGGAGAGTTGAAAGTAGAGTCAATTAGAAAATGGAGAATCTCCATGGTCTAAGGTTGCAAGGAAATTGAATAGGTTCACGAAAGCCACTATTTTCGACATTCGGTGTCTCTAACCATCGATTACGATCATTCCGAGGTCCCCATCTAGGGAGCCTAACGGGACCTATGTGACCCAGTCCCTTGGTCAGGGTTTTTATACCCTCATGCCAGGTCCCAGCTTGACCACCCTTGGCTTTCTTCCACCCCTTACCTGCCTCGTCGAACATCGCTCGCCGTGGCAACCCATTTGGTGTCATGTGTAACACATGCCCCAACCGACGTGATCTATGGAGGTCGACCATTTGCTCCAGTGGGCGATCGCGGTTACCCAATACTCTGTACCTAATCTCAGCATCGCTCGTCCGGTTGCCCCACCAGATTCGTGCAATGCTGCGGTGTTCAGATACCGATGGGTTAATCTTTATCCTGTTTTCTTAATGGTCAAGTTTCTGTGCCGTATANNNNCTGCCGAGGCATACACTTGACCCTTCACAGACATCCGGATATCGCAATGGTGCCACAGACTTCTCAAGTTGGCAAATGCCAACCGAGCCTTCTGTATGCTAGCTGACACTTTATTTGTGATGAGTGCTCCGGGAGCAAACTAGCTGCTCAAATAGCAAAACTTATCCACTTACTCTATTACTTCCCCAGTTAGAGTGAGCCTGGATGCTGACCCAATCCAGTCTTTTAGGAACATTTTACACCTTGAAAGTGCAAAGTGCATACTAAACATAGCTACGCCGGCGCTCAAGCTATCCAGAAAAGCTTGCGACATCTTCGCTTAGCAGCACAATGTCGTTTGCATACTCTAGATCAGTCTACCACCTGGAAGTAAATGGATGCCACTATTATCGCACGAGGATAGGGCTGTTCCCATAATAAAATCTATAACAACGTTGAATAGAAAAGGAGAAAGAGAGGGTAACCCTGACGAACACCGCTTTCCTTGGTGAACTCGGGCGAAAAAGTGCCGTAAGCTTGGACTAGACTTCTGCTATTAGTATAAAGCGATCGCAATACTGAAATTAGCTTTTCGAGTACATCCTTCAGGGAAAGGCAGTCCCAGAGTTTAAAGCAGTCTACTGAGACGAAAGCCGTTTTCAGATCCAGAAAGACAGAGATGGCGGGCCCACAAAAAGAATATTGATGCTCCAGAATTTGGCAGATGTGTTCAATACCACCTCGACCGGGTCTAAAACCAGCCTGGTTCTCAAACATGCACCGTTCACTTGCGGCAGACAATCGACGGAGTATGATGTCAGCGAGAAGTTTAGAGATGATGTTGATTAAACTAATTCCTCTGTGGTCTTCACAAGAGGACCTGTCGCCTTTCTTATAACTCAGTATGATCACCGATTCACATCATTCAGCTGAAACCTCTTTCCTTTCCCATACGGAACCCAGGAGTTTCGTCAACTTTAAGCCTAACGCCGAGCTTGCATCTTTAAACGCCGATGGAAACAGCCCATCTGGACCAGAGGCCTTATACCTTTTGAGATAACTTATTTCCCGAGAATTCTCCATTTCAGACGGAGGAATAGCATCAACAGACAGTATTTGCCCAGTCAAGATGGAAGGTGAAAGATCAGATGTCGATGGGGGCCAGTTGAACTGAGCCCATCGATCAAGACGGCGTTGTGGATCGTGAATTAGTGTACCATCAGATTCCCTAATTATTTTACTTACACCTGTTTTCATGGGGCCCGTATTCCTACTTAGACGGAAAAGGCTACGACTATTACCAATGACCGCAGCTTTATCCATCTCTTTACACTTTTGTACCCTCCACTTTAATCCTCAGACTCTTGGTGAGCTGGAGTTTAAGGGATTTGTGCACTGTGTTATATATGGCATCGAGAGGGAGAGTTCTGCGGGCGTCCAGCAGGGCAGCGGAGGTCGATGAGATCCCTCATTTGTGTTTTGAACCTGCGCCAGGGTTTAATGTTGTTTTTATCGATATTTGCACAGCTTCCTTTCTGTTCTTCCAATGTTTCTCGATTCCTTCGTCTGGAGCTGATAGACGATCAGACAATTCCGCTTTGAAGGCCGATTTGCAGCAATTGCTGACGCTGTATTGTGGGTATCCGTTGCATTTTTTGGCATTTTTTCGGCTGTTTGCCAGGTGCAAGGAGAATCTGGCTCGTAAAAAGGCGTGATCCATATCCACAGGTGTTGACCAGTAAGAGTGGCAGTCTTAAATTGATCCCCTCATGCGAGAACTGATGGCGATGTGGTCGATTTGGGTCCAGAGTAGTGAAGAGTTTGGTGGTTTTCATGTAAGACGGTATTGTTTCTTGTGCGATAAGTTCAGGAACAATCCGTGATCCGCGCAGAGTTGAACTAGGAGATCTCCGTTGTCCGTCCGGTTGGCTTGGATTGCATGTGGTCCGCCAAGAAGCCTTTCTGATTCGTCCATGGATCCCACTTGAGCGTTGAAGTCCCCGACAAGTACCACAACGTCCGTTGATTGAGCCCTTTGGAATAGTTGAGAAAGATCCTGGTAGAATTCATCCTTGATTTCCGGTACACTGCTATTGGTCGGTGCATACGCCGATACGACGGACAAGCATCGATGGTTCATTCTGTAGCTGTTGATCCATGCTGAACTGTTGAGACGTACAGCGCACAGTCGGCTACTAACTGGAATACGGTCAAGAAGCGAGTGCTCTTTGGCGCCGTCGCGACATCCGGTTGTCAGTGAAGGGCCAAGTATATGCTGCAGCAGTTCGGCCAGTTCTGCTTTACGGCGCAGAGACTTGGACATTACGAGAACAGGATAAAAATAGACTTTCGGTGTTTGAACACCGCTGTCTACGTCGCATTGCACGAGTCTGTTGGGGAAACCGGACA